TCTGCTGGTAAAAGGGCCACCAAGCCTGACAACCAGAGTTCAATCCCCAGATCCCAAATGGTGAAAGGAAAACTGACTCCCAAAAGTGGTCCTCTGTAGGCTAGAGAGATGGCTCAGTGGTTAAGCACACTGATTATTATTACAGAGGACCTGAGTTCGGTTCCCATCACCCATATGAGGGCTAACTCAGAGCCAGTCCCAGGGGTATTCAACACCCTCTTCTGGCCTCCACAGGCTTACACACAAACAGGCAAAACAGTTGTACACATTAAATTTTTTAAAAATTTATTTTTATTTTATGTGTATGCATATATTGCCTGCATGTAGGTAAGTACACCCGTGTCGTGCAATGCCCAAGGAGGTCAGAAGAGGCTGTTGGATCCCCTGGAACTAGAGTTTTGGACAGTTGTTAGATGCCATGAGGGTGCTGGGATTCTAACCCAGGTCTTCTGTAAGAAGAACCAGTGTTCTTAACCACTGAGCCATCTCTCCAGTCCCACATTAAACTTTTTTTAAGTGAGCCTCTGGCGTTTATATGCCCACTCCTACAAGGCAAACACAAATTTTTTTTTTTTAATGTTCACACACACACACACACACACACACACACACACACACAGATACCCTACAAAAAAACCTTTCAGGCCTGGGAATGTTATAAGCTGTACAACGCTAGAGGGGGGTGGGGGGCAGAGAGCCTGAAGCACTGACACAGGCACAAAAAGACTCAGAGAGGCAAGGGCTGGGGATGAAGCTGAGCTGGTAGAGTGCTTCGCTGGCACTCAAGCCCTGGGTTTCATTCTCCAGCACTGCATAAGCCAGTCGTGGTGGTGCACACTTGTAGTCTCAGCACTGGGGAGGTGGAGGCAGGAGGGCAGGAGGATCGGAAGTTCAAGATCATCATCAGCTACACAGCAAGTTCAAGGCCTGCCTGGGCTACATGAGAACTTGTCTTGGGGGGAAACGGGACTCAGGAAGGCAAGGAACAGGAAAGTAGGCCTTATTTTCCTCAATTTTTGGCAGTACAAGGCAACAGAAAAAGGTTATAAAGCAAGGAGTGTGATAAAGTAATAAGACCAAACACCATTCACAGAACAAGTCACCAAGGTCTGTGAGAACCCTAACAGGGCTACTTTAGCTCTCCAGGAACTTTCAATCCCTACCTGACATCATCCTCACCCCTCAAATGCTCCCACACCTTCTAGGTCACCACTGGGCACACCCCAGAACCTGCTTTCTCCTATGCCTGAAAAGGTAAGCAGCCCAAAGTACAGGAAACTCCAGCACAGTCCCCCAGCCTCAGCCCCAGGCCCCTGGAACCCCCGCCTCTCCATTCTGCAGAATTGCCTGGTGCTTTCCAGTCAAGCCCATGGGCTCCTGTGTAACACAGTGTACTACAACAACCTTCTTAGGTCATGTTACAGAATGAAGCCAGAAATCTATAGGTCCACAGGCTTGGCATCATCCTCTATGACTGCCCTGTCTACAGGAGGGCTGGTTGTCAGTTCAGCCTCACCTCCAAGGTGTTCTGGAAGCCTAGATCTCCCAACTTCACTAAACATCCACTCAGAGAAACTCACTATCCCCCAGGGTGCAGTCTGAAACAGGGCAACAGGAGCAGGTATCTCCCAAGGAAGCAGCAGGCAGGGTGACCTATGGAAATATGCCATACATGGGAGAAAAAAAAAAATTGCCAGAGCAGCAATTAACTGCAGCTGTCTTGATGCCTTATTTCCTAGACTTGCAATCTGCCACTGAACAGCCTCCTCAGTGCCCCCGTGTACAGGCCTCATAGCAAGAGTTCGTTGCCTAGGAACTAGGAAAGGGGCACAAAAGGCAAGGACAGGCTAATACCAACAAGTAGAATCTGAATCTAAGTGTTCTTAGCTATTCCTTTAAACTGTCTGTACTTGCAAACATTAGAGTCTCTTAAACCTATGCTAACCTCAAAGCCCAGTTATACATACAACTTATCTTCTTCAGCTCTTTTTTCTCTTAACTTCAAGTCATGAACCAGGGGGCTATTCACTATTAGTTTTTTTGTTTTTGTTTTTAATAAAATATACTGCAGTAGTACTTTGCAAAAACTAAGTAGTACTATCATCTGAAACTAATTTCTTTCTTACAAGAACCATAGTCTAGAAAAGCTGTAAAAGCAGTTGATAGAATTCTACAATAGAAAGTTATAAACAAAAAGCCCAATTCTTTTTAAATCAAAATTTAATGCCAACTCAATATTGAGAGGTGTTTACCTCTAACCAAAGCTTTTCATTTGAATTCAATGCAGTGAAATAACAAAGTTCAATGATAAGAATACAGGAGTACTTAGCCACAACTCAGTCACGTTTCTATTTATCTATTCATAGTTGTTACAGTCAGCTCATGATTTCCATTTATCCCCTCTATGGTGCTACAGAACTGAGCTACAGGAGTGGGAGGAGGAAAAGCCCCAGAAAACTTTGTCAAACAGGTGTACAGCCATCAACCCCTCACCTAGAGTCTCAAAGGAACAGTCAGTCAATCACCTTGCAGATTGAACAAACAAAACATCACTCCTGTTTTTCTACTTTCCTCAGCAAATAACAGTCTGGAACAAAATGACCTGTAACATTTGCAAAAGTAACAATGAAACAGCAGCAGGACCTGGCAAATGGGAGTATAGTCTTCAGGACAAGTCCTAGATTCCAATCACACAGTCCAACCCACCCAACCCACTACCTCACCTCGCTCCATTCAATTAGTTTCTAATGGTTCCCACAGAAGCATAGAAAAGGTACAATAATACCTCTACCTCCACTGGTACCAGGAACAATCAAAAGGCATAAAAATGATTGGCAGGCTATTAAAAAAGGGTCTTTATACTACAGTGTTCCTGAATTCAGGTTGTTAACATTTTTGCTTAGGCTGCCTGAATGTGTTCGGCTATCTTGCCAAAATTTTTAAGCCAATGCCTCCTAAACCCCAGGCAAGGAGGTGAGGGAGAGGAAGAGGCATGAGCCTTATGGCAACAGGGATGCCTACCCCTCTCCACTTTCATCCCAGGCACTAGTCAAGGCCAGGTGTGCCTTCAATTTAATCCTCAGCAACAGCTCCCAGGGAGGCCTCCTGGAGTGGCAGCTGCTGCAAACTCCAAGTTGAAAATAAATGTGCTTGTTTTTCTTTTCTTAGAGGAAAAGAAAGGAAAAGAATGTTCTCCAATGGCACACCAAAATTTTATCATATGCTTTGTAAGATGTACACAGGCGCAGGAATGACTGTTGGAGGTCACTTTGGCTCTTCTAGACTAGACCTGAAAAATTAGTCAATTCCACTGTGAAAGTTACCATCTTTGTACTGAAAAGGCAAAATAAAAAGCTCCCTTAAGACTACCTAGGAAATATACTTTTTTGTGTGAGGGAAAGTTTTCAAAAAATATTTTTCCCCAAGATGAAGAACGCTCACCCATTCTATAAGACCAAAAGAAACAATAGCTCCCACCTGAGAACCATCTGACACTGATTTCACAGCACTGCGAAAGGGGTGTTGATAGATTTCTTTTCACCTTCTACAAAGGCCAATGGCCCAGTAAGGTGTTTGTGCTAGAGTCCAACCTGATTAACACATTGTAATAGTCCATCTCAAGGAAATATTGATGAGTTTTTTTTAATCATTACAAGAGGTCCTTCTTGCTCTACTGGTAGAAATTATTTTTCAACCAGCTCACCCTGACCTCATGCCTTGAAATTCAAAGCAAAGCCAAGAAGCCACAGCTTTTAACCTAGTGCTCTGCTAGGTTTTATGGGCATGCACAGTATGACACTCCAGATGAGATTCAATACTTTCTAAGCATCTTCCCAGTCACCCTTTAATTTTACTATTCCTTAAAGAAAGAAAATTCCAGTGGCCTTTAAAGTGCTAACTTTAAGAACCTATTTGTCTATAGTTCAAACCTAAACAATGAAATCCAGGTTCCTTCTCATGGCTTAAAATGAGGGAAGAAAAGGAACTGTCTTCCACAAGACACAAGGCCGGGGATCCAGTGCTTCTCAACCCAGGGACAACGGAAAAGAGCCTGTTGCGTCTATAAACTAACAATCTCCCGGGATATTTTAGGTTGTTTCAGCAAAGGTTTCTATTCAGTCGCTTTGCTACACTGCTTTTGAGAGCAAAACTTTAATAGCGCGACCTAACCGTATCATAGGTGTGGTTTTCATCTCAGTCATTCTGTCACCATTGATGCGTTTACAAACTTTACAAGTTAGACCAGGGTCGTGACCGTTTTTTAAAGGGCAGAAAACAGTCCCCAATAGCGAAAAATGTTCATACATGCATGTAAATTTGAAATGTAACTTCCCTCGCCATCCCAAAAGTTAATGGCAGGCCAAGATGCCACAAATATGGACAGAGACGTCTACTAGCCAACAGTTCCTCTGGATGCCATCAAGTTAAAGTACCGCCGCTGTGTCCAAGCACCCGCGGGTTGAGTCTGAGCTCGGGACACCACGGCGCGCGGTCGTGTGGATCCCTCCTCCCGAGTTTGCAGGCTCGCACTTTCCGCTCAACCCGCACCAGAACTGCAGGCTTCGAAGCCGAGGCTCGGCAAGTTACACCTTCCAGCACCCCGCCCTGCGGGCCGCGAGGCCTGCGGCCCGCCGGGACGTGCCTCCCGCCCTGCGCAAGGGTCTCGGGCCTCGGGGATCTCGAGGTCCCGCTGCCCGGGTCCCAGGCCCAAGCGGGGCCCAGCGACTGAGGCAGGGCCTCCAAGGGCATTGGTTTGCATTCCTCCTCCCCAGGGATGGGCCAACGCCGGCCTGTGGGGTGGGGGAGTTGGGGAGCGCGAGGCTCGGGAGCCCAGTCTCTGGACCCAGGCCTTGGCCCCTACACAAGCACACCCGCCTGACTCGGCCCGAGCGGAGTTCCTGCGACCCCGGAAGGGAGCGCGTGAGGGGTGGCGTGCTTACACCGTAAGTTGCCTGCTTCCGCCCCGGCCCGCACCCGACCCCCCGGCCGCTCCCAACTACCTGCATGCCGGGCAGGCCCGACTGCACCGGGGAGTGGGCCATGGCACTCCGCGCGGCCACTTCCTGGCCCGGGACAGGCCGAACCGCGCGGCGATCGGCGGCCAAGCAGGCCCTCGGGCGGGCTGGAACCCGAGGCCACCGCACCAAGGGAGTCCCGGCCGCAGAGGGCTCAGCGAGGGGCGAAGGGTTGCGTCTCCATGCACTGCGCGCGGGGCGCGGGGGGGAGCCTGGCACGAGCTGCTGCGGCGGCTGCGGTCTCTCCTGCGCCGCCGCGGTGCTCAGCAGGAA